CTTGGGGACCGATGCAGTCATGGTTCTGTCTTCCTTTTCCTTGGCCATGGCGAACAGTCGTCGGTGGTAGTGCTCTGCGTACTTCATCTCCTCAATGGACGCGTCAAAGAGCTCCATGACCTTCCGCGACAGCAACTTCTCCTTGCCGAACGTGTAAACAGCCTCGAAACCGAGGGATATCGCCGCATTTCGCAAGTCTTTGATAGTGCTCAACATGTCTGACAAAAGATCGTTGAGCCAATCGGAGTGGGCTGCCATCAGCTGCTTGGTTTGCTGCATCAACCTCCTATATATCATGATCCGGGACATGACAATACTCTTTCCCTGCAAGTGCTGTTCGATCTTGCGGAGGGCGGCGACCAGGCGGCGGACGCGATCGGAGGTCATGACTTTCGACGAAAAGTCCTGGGTAGCGACACAGTGCATCAGGTGTCGAGCAACATCCTTTGGTGTCGACGAGTCCTCGAAGGATCGGATGCTGTGGTCCATAAAGAAAACACCGAAATCGTTGGGTATCGTTGAGGCAATAGCGGGGAAATGAAGGAACGTCGCCAATAGGGAAAGTGCGTTGTTGGTGAGAGGAACGTCGATTCCGTTAGTTGTAGGATTCTTTGATGTAATATCCCGTTGGATGAATTGGACGAAGAGGCCCATCTTGCCCTGCAGCGCAATCCGATCCGGGAGGTTGTTTGACGTCTTGAGCGTCATGACGAGTGTGGTATACGCATCCCGCTTCGAGTCCCTGTCAGCACCCGCAAGCTGCTTGACTGTCGACTCCAACATGTCTGCGATGTTTGCTGGTGTCGCCAGCGTGTCGGACTGGTTGCTGGAGTTCAGTGGACTTGGAGAAGAAGTCTGCTTAAGGATACCCTTGACAGGCTTCGGTTGCGTCGAGGACGGTGCAGAGAGCGGCGACGGCCTCGGCAGAGATTTGGCGTCGGGATAGATGGGTGCCTCGTTGTATTGTGCCTTGGCCGAGAAGCCCACGCGTTTCCTAGCTCTGCGTATGCTCGGATTCGTAGAGTCGGCACCGGAGAGGGGTGAGTACACATTCGGCGGCGTGTGCATGGGTCGAGGATCGGAGGAGGGGGGAATGACGAGAAGATGCTTCGTGGCAGCAGCATCGATAGCTTGGTTGGTCTCGCGCGGTGGTGTTGGCGGACGAGGAGGTAACGACTCGAGTCGGCTCGATACAACTTCGACAGATCCCATGATGACGGAGGGGTGACGGGGCGCCGGACACCAGCTGTCTCTGTCTTGGTCTCTATCTCGACTGGCGCATGTGTACGTCGGACTCCTGCCAGCAGAGAGGAAAGGAGTGACGGACGAATAAGCACACCAAATGCAGAGAGAACTAACGTGCAAAACCGACCCGTGCAGTAAGAAATGGCAAGCAGAGAGAGGGGATTCCAACGACAACGAGCGTATGGAGATTGACGATGAGGAGGAGACGACCAGGAGGCTGGAGCGAAGCCGTGGACGAGTACGGAAAGATTAGGTATGGAGAGCGGACCTGGAGCACTTTTCGCGGCACGACGTCCGTTCCGCGATCTCTCAAAGTGGATGGGCTGGATAATTGGCTGGGGCGCTTTACGGTGCTAGACACGTCCAACAGTTCCGCGATGCACGTAAAAACGCGAGCTGGTCGCGAAAACCACTTAAAGATGTGGCCCGTGCTTGACGTGAACCCTGGTTAAATCGTTGTCTCGTTGCCTGGGGGTTGGGCGGCGACCGACGGACCAAGTGGGGCACTGGAATGAGTGGAAACCGCAGGGTGCGTTTCTGGGATTCGCATGGCCAGTGAAAATGCTGTAGCAACTGAGGCGTTGAATAGCGTTCTGCTTAGCTAACTGTCATGCTTAGCTCATCCTTGAGCCACCCGTGCCACTGCGGCTGGTGATAGAGCAGACCCACCTCACCATCTACCCCCTGAAGCCGCCCGGGGTAAGAAGCAGTCCGGGCGCTGCAGCCGGCCTGTCAAGTTACTCACGTCAACGCCTGGCGCAATGCAGCCACTGTGGCGTCCCCACGTCCTGCTCTGTGTAACAACAGTGGATCGGAAGCGTAGGAGCTGTCCAGTGTCAGGTCTCGTGGTCTGGGCCGGCTCATCCCCCTTTGTCACTGGATGATTATCCGTCACTTGAGCTGAGCTTCAATCGAAATACCTGACTGCACCAAACTGATCTTCCCCAAAAGATAGGCTTAATCGCCCGAAAACGTCTGCTCGGAGCGTCGCTGCCGGAGCTTCCCTTTAAATCGAATCTCAACGCTGCATCGAACCTAGCTCCGGGCCATTGGAGGGCCTAGAATATCAAGCCACTTGAATCGACGTCAAGAGCCACAACCACAGACACACCTACCCGTCCAGTTGTACGACCGTACAATCGTTTCCCGTCGAGCGCCAGAAAGACCCAAATCTTTCATCTTTCCATCTCATAGGTAATCCCGTGTGTTCCTCGTCTTCATCGCCATTGCCTGGCCTGTTCCCAAATCATGGTGTCTATATTGAGGAGGATGCTAAATGTCAAGGATCGAAAGGCTCGTCGAGCGTCGTCGCCTGCCACTACGTCCAACATCTGTGTTTCTCATACTACTCTCGGCTCCAAATCCACTACCGAGACCGGCCCCAGGACCGGTCCCCCGCGCCGCGCCATGTCCCAACCGATCCTCATGCAGGCCAACTTGACTGGCAATGGTATGCTCCTGCGGCCCATCCTGGTCTGACGAGCCTATAATTGACCGCCATCCAGCGAAGCTCGAGGCCGTCACCAGCTTGATGAACAAGCTTGGTGAGGACCTAAAGAGCGTCAGTCTGCTTCCGCAGCGTGAGTAATTTGACTATACTCTTTCCAAAGCTCATATGGCTGATTTTGGCAGAACGAGACGCCGCCCTGGAAGAGCTCAAGATCTATGGACGGGATCCTAGAGATGCCGGCCCCATCTTTACTTCTGAGGTTTGACCTCTCATTCACAGCACTATCATCTAAAGCTGACGCATCGCAGGGTATTGAGATTCTCACTAAGCATGCCTTCAATAGCCCCTCGAGCTCAACCTCAAGAGCTGCGTTGAGAGTTCTTGCAAATGCGATGCTGCTGAACCCCCAGACCCGGCAGATGTTCGTTGATCTTGGTTATGAGGATAAAGCTTGCAAGAAGTTGAAGAGCGACAGCTTTGATGATGAATTTCTCGCCTCCAGAGTCATCTTCCTTACGACTTACGAAACGAACATTGATCTCCTTGGTCTCATTCAGAAGCACGGTCTCGCGGAGACCGTGGTAGAGCAGTTGGGCAAGCATGCAAAGTTACTTGCGAAGGGGCAGAACAAGTCACCCGTCGACCCTATGGAAGACATGGCGTTGAATGAGATACTGCGCTTGCTGTTCAACGTGTCTCACTTTTGCTCCTCTGAAGCATCCGCGTTCACGGCCAGCATACCTCACATCATAACCTTGTTGTGGAAGCAGGACATCTCCCCCAAGAAGCCGCTTGACCCTCCTTTCAACTCCCTAGTCAACGCGCTTCTCAACTTGAAGCTTGAGGACGAGGACATCCAGTCGTCCATCTACCCAAAGAATGAGCCCAAGAAGGTGTCCGAGAGGCTGATCGAGCTGTTGGATCTGTCATTGAAGGCGTACACGGATAATGAGCTGGAGCAATTGACGACACCCCTCGTTGGCGTCCTGCGGAGGGTACACGATGGTGCCCCCGATGAAGCGAAGAAGTATATCCGCACAACTCTTCTTCCAACTGAAGAGGACAGAAAGGAGGTTCTTGGCCGTGGCACATCCCTGACGTCCAGACTGCTGCGTAACTCCACCAACCCCATGACCCCGCAACTCCGAGACGCCATCTCACATCTGCTCTTCGACATGTCCGACAAAGATGCGTCCAAGTTTGTCGAAAACGTGGGTTACGGATTCGCGTCCGGCTTCTTGTTCCAGAACAACATCCCCATTCCTGCCAATGCTTCCGAGGCATTCAGCAGCGGTGATGGCCAGCGGCACGTCAATCCCATCACGGGTCAATTTATCGACAAGGAGAAAGACGTCGATGTTCCTGAGATGACAGAGGAAGAGAAGGAGAGAGAAGCCGAGAGGCTGTTTGTGCTATTTGAGAGGCAAGTTTACTCGTACATGCATACAGTCCACCACACTAACGCCCAGCAGGTTGAGAAGAACAGGCATCGTGGACATTCAGAACCCAGTGGAGCAAGCGGTGAGATCAGGGCGTTTTGATGAATTGGGTGAGAACAGAGTGGAAGAGTTGGATTAATAGGGTTATGGCAGAAGGAACACGGGAAGATGAGATATAAAGCGAATATCGGGAAAGTGCCATGACGGCAAATTCGCGTGGCCGCCAAATCATGTTTCATGTCGGTCTAGATTCGATGTGACACATCTGCTTCGAGTCTGAGGCTCGATCCAAGCACTACTCGCTTTCGACACGACCAGTACCTTCTGTTGCCTAGTAAAGACGTACGCCGTGTTTTCCGAAAGGTCATGAGCAGTAATATGTCGCCCAACCAAGGCTGTTGGGCGAAGCTTGGTCACCTTCTCACGTGGCTTCTTTGCCCGTCCCTCCATTGTCTCGACCGCCCTGAAAGAAAGAGTTGTTATTGTATTTCCTTATGTTGTGAAGCATTCTGTTTTCAAAGTCTTCCCGTTGCCATTTCCCCCTTTTCCTAATTTTTACGGCCTGGTGGCTGGGAACTTTCCTCGACTTAGAACCGAGGCGGTCTCTCTATTGACAGCAGGCGCGACCTTTCACCCGCTCTTGCCACCCGCTCCTTCCCTCTTCTCACGAGTACCTTAGGCAGAACTCACATTTACTTCTCTCACCCCACCCTGACCAAACTTCTCCCAAAATCACTCTCACCTCAACGCGACTCGTAAGAACGCGACTCGCAGAGGCGTCGACGAGCATCAGCCCAATAGCCTTTTCTCACTCAACTCCTGCGCCTTACCACTTCTACCATCCTTACCCATCGATAATCACCAACATGTCGAAGCAAACGGTGTTCAAGGGACGCGATGAGCCCATGACCCAGGAACAGCTCGCCGCGCTGGCCACCGAGGCGGCGCAACAGTAACAACAGATACCCCATCCCCATTTTCGGACGGAGCACTGATGGAAAGACAGCGCCGAGCAGGAAGCCGACATGGGGGATGACACCATCCCTCAGATCACGTCGGATATCATTCCAGGCATCAAATACAATAGCTCTGATGCCGACGATACCGCTCCCGCTCCGAAGCGCAAGCGTGGCCGCCCCGTCCTGGCTCCGATGAAGATCAAGCGTGAGGACTCTGTGGCGCGTCTCGACGAGGTGGAAGCTTTTCAAGGAGGTTCGTCTTCTCAGTATGGCACTCCTCTTGGCACTCCAGAATTGCCTGCCACGTCTCGGGTAGCGGGAAAAGCCAAGCGCAAGTTCGAGCAAGCCTCTGCCAACGATACACAGAAAGCCGGTGTTATATTCATCTCTAGAGCACAGGCCGCCAAGAAGTCGAAGAACCCGAAGGTCGACGGCCATGCTGTTAACAGCGACGAGACTGAGGACGACCCTAAGAGACAGAAAGAGTTTGAGGACGACAGTGAAAGACAGAATGAGAGCGAGAACGACGGGGAGGAAGAGAGCGTAGAGGGTAACGACGCGGTCAATGATCAAGAGGTCCCCGTTCAGACCCCCCGTCGCGGCCGCCCCCGGAAGAACATCGCCGCTGCTGAGGCTGATCCTCCGAAGCGCCGTGGTCCAGGTCGTCCCTCGAAGACCCAGACTCCTACAACGTCCAGCAAGACCACCAGAGGCAGCATTCAGAGCAAGAGACACCGCATTTCAGCACGCCTCAAGATCTTGCAAGCTAATCGAAGTGTCCCTGCAGACGAAAAACGGTCTCTCCGATCTTCGGGCAAGAACACCGACGCGACCAAAAAGGTATTTCTCTTTCATTCACTCGAAATGGCAATATGTAGAGACACGGCTAACAATACTTGAAGGTCTCAAGCTCTCACACGAGAGGTGTAGCCCAGGTGAAGAAGACACCCAAGAAGCGCCCCACTGCTGTGCGAGCTGAGTCCGAAGACGATGAATATGAGGTCGAGCGCATCGTTGGCGTTGAGCCCGCCAAGGGCAAGAAGCAGAAGAAGTACGAGGTGAAGTGGAAGGGCTACTCCAACAATGAGAACACTATGGAGCCCGAAGAGAACCTCGCGAACTGCAAGCACTTGATCGCTGCGTTTGAGAAGAAGCAATCCAAGGCTGTGAAGAAGTAAACTTCTGGCTAGCCCGGGGTTGTCAGTTGTGGCAGCTATGTTGCGATGGATCTGGCATTTCTGCTTTACATCACGCGGCCTTGCAGTCGACTCGACAAAGGCATTTTGATATCAAGCTATTGCTGAATTCGGAGGTTTAACGTGGTACGCGGGGGCAACGTATCGGGAATGGGATGGTGGTCGTCGGCAGGGATGTTTGCTGTGCGGTGGCCGACTTGGCTTTTATTTCATGCAGTCTTTCTTCCTTCTTAGCTAGGACCTTAGCTCCCCGCAAAAATTTCCGACTGGTCCAATTGACTGCCACCCCTTACGTCTTTTTCAGGGTTTATCAGTGACCTCAACCCTTCCGTCAACGTGTCGTATCAGTGAGGACGTCAGCTCAACAATCTTCGCTCGTCTCCCACCTCTCTACCAGCCCGCACCTTCCCGGCGCAAACCTTCCGGCGCAAAGTTTGGAATCGCCCGCGATCCTCGAACAAATCTTTTTCCAAATAACATTCACGCCACGCCGGCACAAACCCGCCTAGCCCGACCTTCACGATGGACGCCGTCCGCTCCACCCTCCAGCCCGTAACGCACAACCTCCCCGCCCCGATCCGCGACCTCGGCGTCTCCATCATCGGCGAGCACTGCTACAAGTCCCTCCTCCTGGACATCAACGTCGAGGATGTAGACTGCATCAAGCTCGGCCTGTCCAAGGGCATCGGCCTGGGCATCGTCGGCGTCTCCAGCATCGTCAAGCTGCCACAGATCCGCAAGCTCACCTCCTCGCAATCCGGCGAGGGCATCTCCGTGCTCTCCTACCTCCTCGAGACAGCCTCCTACCTCGTCTCCCTCGCCTACAACTACCGCAACCAGTTCCCCTTCAGCACCTACGGCGAGACGGCGCTCATCATGGGCCAGAACGTCATCATCACCGTCCTCGTGCTCAACTACACCGGCCGCGCGGGCCTGGCGGCCGTCTTCGTCACTGCTCTGGCTGTGGCTATGGGCGCGCTCTTCGCCGGAGGCTTGGTTGATATGCAGACGCTGGGATACCTCCAGGCCGGCGCCGGCGTGTTGAGCGTCGCGAGCAAGGTTCCCCAGATTCTTGCGATCTGGTCTGAGGGCGGCACCGGACAGCTCAGTGCTTTTGCTGTAAGTTTTCTCTCTTGTCTGTTGTGCAGTAAGCACAATGCTAATCAAATTCGTTCCCCCAGGTCTTCAACTACCTCCTCGGCTCCCTCTCCCGCATCTTCACCACCCTCCAGGAGGTCGACGACAAGCTTATCCTGTACAACTTCATCGCGGGCTTCCTGCTCAACGCCGTCCTCGCCTCGCAGATGGCGTACTACTGGAACGCGCCCTCCGCCAAGGCCAAGGGCAAGCAGAAGGTCCCCATCGCCGCGGCCCCTGGCATCGCTGCGCCGTCGGCTACCTCGACTGCCACGTCCAAGAAGGCTCCCACCACGCGCCGCCGCGGTTAAGCGATGATTCGCAGAGTAGGCATTGGGACGGTGGATGTTGGTAGATACAATGCTGTTAATATGTAATGCAGAGCACATTCCTGAAAGACTTCTTGTGTGGTTTATGTGAATGTGTGTGTGTATATGTGTGTGTGTGTGTGTGTGTATGTGCTTTATGAGGCCAGTCACATCTTGCAGTACCTCATTTGTGTGAATGAATCTGCTTTGAGCTGAAAACCAGACGTATAAAAAGGCGTGAACAATGTAGGAGACCTCACTCATAATCGATTGACTCGAGAACCATCTCAGTAGCTTGGCAAGTAAACAACATTGTTGGTCTTCGACTTGTAGTCTGAAGGAAGTTTCAAGATTACCAAGTGCTGCCGTGCTGCGTATATGGTTCATCCCAAGGATACTCAATCAGTATACTACAAAGATACCGTATCCGGAGGACGAAACAGAGAAGACGGCAAAAGCAGGTCACGAGCTGAGAAATGTCTTTAAGCTTCTTTGGCCCTCGATGGAAAATCTTACGTCGCGTGGATATCCTACGAGCCAAGCATACGTATTTTATGTCGAAGTCGAAGTACCAACGGTGTGCCTTCAACATTGGGTGGGCACTGTTTTAGATTGCAGTCAGGATTGCTCGAGCGGTCCTGCCTAGAACAAACTTCAACGCCAACTACCGTTCCGACGTCGATGCTTCATTCATGACGGCTTTCCGCCTCATCTCAGCCAGTATTTAAGCAGCTCCTTACAGAAAGGAATCATCACGCCAGAGATGGAGGATTGGATTGTAGTTGTGACCTTCTTGTTCCGCAACAGTATGCGTGTGCATTTAGCCGCTAACTTGTTTCCACGGTCCAAACATTGCGAAGGACGAGAAGCATTCAGCGTCAACGCCGTCTTTAAGTTCCGTATCTTTGGACTCATTCGTGACACATATAATCCAGACAATCACAGCACACGAAGTCGTCGCTGAAGCTCTGTAAATGTACATGTTCGTCTTGGATGTACCTAGGAACAAGAGCTTTCTTTGGCCTCGATGAAGACAAGCACTGGGCCGCCTTGTAATTTGTATTTTCGGAACCTTAGTATTGAAGTGTCTGAGACTCACATACCTTCAATCTCAAATCATCTCTCCCAACTTGAATTTTCAGATGTCTCGCCATAGGCTTGGAAGTGTCTTTGCTAGTATTTAAAGGAGGGCTGCAGCATCTCTCAAATAAGCCGCGACAATACACATTCAACTCGAATTGAGATGGAAACTATACTGGACACTCCCTTTAGAAGTCAGACTACTACTGTTGGAACTTGGAATATATTGTCCGGCTATGAAAATATTGACCAGAAACCCACTTCTTGAATACATTCAGTGAGAATCGCGTGAAGCCATAAGATAGTACGTTTCACAAGTCGTCCATTGAAGGCCAGTAGAAGAAAGAAAAAGGTACCAGGGTTGTGAGAGGCAAGATGAACCGCCCAAGAATTCGAGCATTTCAGCCAGGTGGAAAAAAATACACAAGTCTTCATCAATCTTTGTAATAGCATGAGAGCATATCCTTTGGGTAGGCAGACCAGACGGATTAGAAACTGTCGTCCGGTATCCTCATCGTCAGCATACAGGTCGAATAATCTATAGATGATACATTACAAACGGCCAAGACATGTTCATAACGTGGCCGAAGTCGGTAGGTTGGCCTTGAAACCGTACGCAAGAACCGAGGGGTGGTCAGACTCAGCATAAGACATGATGCTTTGAAAGCTCATTTTTCTGTGGCAACCATTGCTTCGCTACTGACTCCAGGCCACTGCCCTGGCTGAAGCACACAGTATTTGAATGATCATGGCTTTGACAACAAGGCACATCTAATTAACGTAGGCTTGAGACAGATTGCCACTCTCTAAACCACCAGGTCCACTTCCACATGATATCACGGCAGACGCCAATGTGCGTGGTGTTTGCCATCATTGGTTTGGAACTGCAAGGATGTTGAATTCAGCTGCGAATGTTTGGTAATCTTTGGCGACCAGTCGCATGTCCGAATGCGGATACCGCAGTCCGTCATCATTCCCATCGTATTCCACTTCGGCAATTCTGCATGCCTCCTCGCATGTGTGGACTCAGGTCACCATTCTAGTGTATTTTCTTTTTCGTGGGCCTGGCAGCTCGCGACCATGCAGCAGTCTCAATGAGACCGGCAGGAGCTACCGATTCAAGGTCAGGATGACGTCAAACGGAAAGCGCAGTTGTAGGTTCAGGTTGAGTGTCTTCCCATGCGGCGTTTGATGGGTCGCCCAACGAGGCAAGAAGCAGAGCAACTACGTATGACGTAGCAGGCTCAGCAAGGCTTGCCGTTTGAGGAACGTGGGCTGCCTTATACGAGAGCCCATATTCGTGTGGCTTTAAGGGGCGCGATGGTTTTTCTGCGCCTCTGTCGATGACGCCCACCCCGAGTTCGAGAGAACGAGAACCGCTGCGGCCATTCTCAGACGTAGATGGCGTCAAAAGGACAGTGATCGGTAGCTAGAATTCCGCAGAGGCGTGCTGATTTAAGGCCTTGGCCTTCGCGTAGTAGCCATCACAGCAGGACCTCCAGTCAGGTGACTTTACGATGTGCGTCAGAGGTTGGGTTCCGCCGCGAAGAGGGTAGACATCTCCGCCTCCAGTAGCTTCAAATGCAAATACGCTGGAAATCACGGGGACGAGAAACGACAAAGTTGTGAATAGAACCGTCAATTGATTTGAGACGGGGAGGGTCAGGAGCCTCCCCTCTCCTGAACGAGGCCGTAGCCTGAAGTAATTGCGAACCAAACCAGAAACCAGAACGAACCGAGCCAACCGAAAAGAACCAGACCGCCGACCCAAACCGATGATAACTAGGTATGCCCGTAGGCAGGGACCCCCCTCCAACTCCAGAAATTCCATCGTCATTCTTTGACGCCGTGCGTCTTCGTCATTGTCGTCGTATCCGCCGTAACTGTGATGTATGGGTTAGTGAGGGACGGCGACGAGGGACGAAGAAGTCTACTTACTTAATCCAACAAATGTTCAAAAAACAAAAAGAACGAGAGCATGTGGCTCAGTGCCGGGTGGCCGCCGTAATAATGAGTACGACGACCACCGCGATGCACCAGAGGGCGAAGCCTCCGAACATCATCATGCGCATATTGCGCCGTTGGCCGTGGGAGAGGCCAGAGCACTCTCCTTGAGTGATGGCCGCGAGCATTGAGTCGGCTCTGCACGAGGTCATGGCCCATCCCACGAAGGGGATGATGAGGGTGATGGCCATGACCCCGCGGTAGAAGAGCTTGGAGCGCCGTTGCGCGCGCTCCGAGAGCATGTAGGGGCCGGCAATGCCAGCCAGCTCCACGTCGGTGCTGATGACGCGGGCCCCCTCCCTTGTGAAGAGATGGGGGGAGCCCTCCCGCGCCCGCTGGTTGGCGAGGGCGTCGGCGGCCGCTCGGTGTGTGACGCGAGCCGCCTTGCCGCTCGCCGCGGTAGGAGCCCTCTCCTGCAAAGGAGAAGGGCGCGCGGGCAGCCCCGACGTGGGC